TTATCATTTAATCACCAATAACCTACATAGAAAAAAAAATGGTAATTAATAATAATAATAATCATAAAAACTAATTAAAACAATATTTTTTTTTTCTACATATGTATTTAATTAATTACCGTTCTCCGTGACGTAAATCAGAGGATCTTCGTATTCTTCATAAGTGTGCACTATAAGCTTGTAGAATCCTTCCGGGACAACGAACATCCATGGAGAACCACCCTAATGAAGGAGATTATTGATATTAAGTAGCAATTAATTTCTAAATAATATTTTTATATATTTAACATAGCCTTATATAATTTGTAATTAATTGCTACAAAATACCCTCTAACAATGTATATACCTTATCGCCAATTGGCACCCCATTTCGTTCAGCTATAAAAAAAAAAAAACAAAGCCTTTAATTATTACAAAATCTAAAACTTGAAGATTTTTTTTTTAAGTTTATTGACAAAAAAAATAATTTAATAAATAAAAATAGTACTTACTGAGGAAATCAGCTTCTTGATCTGTATAATAAGTTGGTGGGGTGCCATATGGGGTAGGTTTGTAGGTGACGTAATTAGTTGTGTAATAATTCAATCCAATAAAATCAAATGATTGTGTTATTAACTTTTTCTGCTCAGGTGTGAATACCGGTAGCCGGTCACCCACTCTCTCTCTCATCACAGGGGGGTATTCGCCCCTCACTATAGGTGCCAGAAACCTGAAAATTAAACAAAATCAACAATTTTGAAATTAATTCATCATATATAATTTCTTTTAATTATTAATTATTTAGTATAATTTATTCTGAAATATTAATGAATGAATTAATTATTACCATCCCCACATAAAATCAACAGCTCTTGAAGCAGCTGCTTTATCTTCTTCGGTGTCCTCTAGTGGTGTAAACCACATTGAAACATGTGTAACACCTATTATGCCCTTTTGGGCTTCCTACATAATAAATAATATGTTTTAATTAATTAAAAAGAAAATCAAAAATTAATTTTTACTATATAGATAGATAGATAACCTTATAGTCTCGTCGGTATATTTCAACGGCTGCAGCATGAGCAAGGATCAAATGATGTGCGACCAAATAGGGTTCGGTTCCGGGGTTGGACCCACTGAGCACATGTGGGTCAACGCCACGTGTACATCTGTGATTCCTTTTGTTCTTTGGAGCACCGCTTGTTGTCGTTTCGGTTGGACCGGTTGTATAAGTACCATGGTTAGGTGGGAAATCTCCAGTTATGTAACCATGGTGAGTGTACGTCCACGACTCGTTTATCGTGATCCAATGCTTCACACGGTCCCCGAACTCGAAGAAGCACACTTCTGCGTACTCCGCAAAATCTTGCCTGCCGTCGTCGTACGTCGTTATTATTAATTATATAATGTACACACATTTTATAAATTAGTGGTCTCATTATATATTATAAATGTGATTAATAAAAATTAATTAGTGTTGAGCTATACTTACACTATTCTTGGGCTAGCAAAGCCACCGTACTCCTCTTGCAAGAAAGTGGGAGTATCCCAATGGAAGATTGTTACATACGGCTGAATTCCTACACACACACATACATACAATTATTGTATATATACATTATAAATCATATATATTTATGTGTGTGTGTTTGTGTGTTTAATAAATTAATTATGTAATTGACCTTTGGAGAGTGCATAGTCAATGACATCATTATAGAACTTGACGCCTTCTCTGTTAACGCCGCCGCTCAATCTCCCACCTAAATTACAATTAAATAACACTCATGATATGTGATTATTTAACGGAATATTCTTTTAGTGTTACTATTTTAAGAATTAGAATATTCACCTGGTAATATTCTGGTCCATGCAATTGAAAACCTGTAAGCATCTAACCCCAACTTTTTCATCAAATCAATATCCTCCTGCAAACAAATTACACCAATTATAGTTAGGAGATAAAAAATATGTAATTAATAAAAGTATTAAGAATTTAAAAAAAAAAATTATATTGATCTAGCAATATTAATGAGGTGGTGAAAAATTAATTACCTTGTATTTATTGTAGTGGTCAATGGCAAGGCAGCCATTGCTACCATCAGATATTTTAGCTGCAATTAATTCCAGTACAATAATAACATAAGTAAGACACAAATAAATACAAAAATGCTTGTATGTATGTATATATATATACATATATATATATATGTATATATATATATATATATGTATATATATATATATATATATATATATATGTATATATATATATATATATGTATATATATATATATATATATATATATATATATATATATATATATATATATATATATGAGTATAATTATTTTTAACTGTAAAAGAAAAAATAATGATGACGAATCAATATGTGACACGTGTCTGTGGTTGATGACGTATGTTATACCAGGTTTGGTTATGCTGTAGGTGTCCCAAATACTGAAGGTTTTACCATCCTCCTTATAAGCACCTTCTATCTGAAATCAACAAATTAATAATAAAAACAGCAATATTTTAATTTAATTAGTATAATAAATTCATATATGACCAATGTCTTTTATATATAAAAAATTTAATATTAATATCTCGAATACCTGATAAGCAGAAGTAGCAGCACCGAAGACAAAATCGGGTTCAAAGTCGTGTCTCGAAATCTTGCTGTTGGAGTACCTGGACACCAATGCCCCTGCACTGCTTGCCATTGTGTCTGTTAGTGTTTTTTTAGAGAGAGAGAAGGATATATGTAGAGAGAGAAACAAGAGTACTTGTTAGTGATGGGGATGAGATTTCACAACAAATGCATGCTCATATTTATAGGCCCAAAGTAAGTACACTATGAGAGAGTGCACTGCATGTGCACGCGTCTTACTCGATCGGGTTTATTTGATACTATTTCGGCAATCAGGCTGGTATAA